GGGCGGCGCCGCGGCGCCCCCCAGCTGCTCTCGACCAGCGCCCACCCCTGGCGCTAGCAGTGGGCGTTCGACCCCGGCCCCTGCCCTACGTCACGCAGCGGCTCTGATGGACCCGCGGGCCCTGGGCCCGGGGGCCTCCCGGAAGGCCCCGCCGACTTCTGACCCGCCCACCCCGCTGCCTGCGGCCCGGCGTGCACCCGTGCAGTTCAGTGAATCCTTGGGCTTCTTCCCAGTAGGCGCGGGAGACAAGTTGGTGGGCTCCTTTGGTCTTTGAAAATGTGATGGGTTGACGTCAATACAAGACTGCAGAAATGAGGCGCCCTGGGCCCGGGGGCCTCCCGGAAGGCCCCGCCGACTTCTGACCCGCCCACCCCGCTGCCTGCGGCCCGGCGTGCACCCGTGCAGTTCAGTGAATCCTTGGGCTTCTTCCCAGTAGGCGCGGGAGACAAGTTGGTGGGCTCCTTTGGTCTTTGAAAATGTGATGGGTTGACGTCAATACAAGACTGCAGAAATGAGGCAGTCTTCATTCTTTGGCGTAGGTGCCCTGTGCCCTGAGGGTCCAAGGAGACCCAGCTCAAAGAGGAGATGAGGGTAGCGTGGTCAATGTAGGAGAGACTCTTGCTTTGATAGTTTGCTAAGCAGCTGGTCTGTGTGGATATTTCTTTTTCTTTTTTGGTTCTTTTTCTTTAACGCAGTTCATTTTAACCTCTAGAGCCTTTTACTACAATTTATATACAGTAGAACTCTAAGGCCTCTGGTAGACATACGGGAATTCCTTATATAGCAGATGGCCCAACTCATCCTAACCTGGGGCATCCAGTGAACCTGATGGCCCGCTGGCTGAAGGAATGGAAGTCTGAAGTGTGTCAGAATCCATCATACCTAGAGCTCAAGAACAGAGGTGTCATTCATTCTTGAGTTATTAGAGGAGGAGGTCACTCCAAAATCAGCCCAGATTCAGAGATTCCACCTCCATAAGCTTTGTTGCAGATTGAAGTTTTTAATCTGCAGTGAAGAATTGATATAATTCTGGAAGACTTTCACTTTGCCTGTTTTCCTTTTCACAGGAAGGGAATAATGCTGTCAGCATGTCTGCACACTCTATGCTCTGTGAACGAATTACCATAGCCAAGGAACTGATCAAGAGAGCAGAGTCACTTTCTAGATCGAGAAAAGGTGGCATAGAAGGCGGTCCAAAGCTCTGCAGCAAATTGAAGGCAGAACTAAAATTCTTACAGAAAGTAGAAGCCGGGAAAGTAGCTATTAAAGAATCTCATTTACAGAGCACTAATCTAACACACCTAAGGGCCATTGTGGAATCAGCAGAAAACCTGGAAGAAGTTGTTAGTGTTCTTCATGTCTTTGGTTACACAGATACCTTGGGAGAAAAGCAGACCCTCGTGGTGGATGTCGTCGCAAATGGTGGTCATACTTGGGTGAAAGCCATTGGCCGAAAGGCTGAAGCACTACATAATATCTGGCTTGGCAGAGGCCAGTATGGTGACAAAAGTATCATTGAGCAGGCGGAAGACTTCCTCCAGGCCAGTCACCAGCAACCAGTGCAGTATAGCAATCCTCACATCATTTTTGCATTTTACAACAGTGTCTCCAGCCCTATGGCCGAGAAGCTAAAAGAAATGGGCATATCTGTGAGAGGAGACATTGTAGCTGTCAATTCTCTGTTAGATAACCCTGAAGAACTCCAGCTGAGTGAGAGTGAGTCAGATGACGAGGACCCTGAACTTTTGCAGGTGACCCGGGTAGACCGAGAAAATATACTAGCAAGTGTTGCCTTTCCAACGGAGATAAAGGTTGATGTGTGCAAAAGAGTAAATCTGGACATTACAACTTTAATCACATATGTATCGGCTCTCAGCTATGGAGGCTGCTACTTTATCTTCAAAGAAAAAGTGCTCACAGAACAAGCAGAGCAAGAGAGGAAAGAACAGGTTCTACCTCAGCTGGAGGCATTTATGAAGGACAAAGAATTGTTTGCTTGTGAATCTGCTGTGAAGGATTTTCAGTCTATTCTAGATACTTTAGGAGGACCTGGGGAAAGAGAGAGGGCCACTATGCTAATTAAACGAATTAATGTTGTGCCAGACCAACCTTCTGAGCGTGCCTTGAGCCTAGTGGCTAGTTCAAAAATCAATAGCCGTTCGTTAACGATTTTTGGGACAGGGGATACCCTAAAAGCCATCACGATGACTGCCAATAGTGGTTTTGTCAGAGCTGCAAACAACCAGGGTGTTAAATTTAGTGTGTTTATCCATCAGCCCAGAGCATTAACTGAGAGTAAAGAGGTTCTAGCTACCCCCTTACCAAAATATCACACAACTGAGAATGAACACTAATGTATTAAGTATTGTCATGGAAATAAGTTATTTATACCAAAGCCAGAGTTTTCCCATCTAAATTAGGAAGTAGGAGTCTATAGTAAAAATAATACTCAGAACTCTTAAACCAGTAAAGTTTTGTGTGTCTATCATCTATATTTAAAGTGTACCATAACCTCCTAAGGTAGAAAAAGCACAAAAGACAAACATTGATGAAACTGCTTATGCAATAGCAGAAATACGTTTATATAAAACATCTAGCTATATCATAACACTTTTATTTGTCTGATTCGATAGGACTACAGTCCCTCTACTGGTAATCATATTTTATGAAATATGGCTAAATTGCTTCTGCATTAAATTATTGGAGTAAACTCTGAAGCCTAGTTTTTCATTGTATTGGTTTATCAGTTGTGAATTGAGGCTGGGAGGTAATAGTTTATAATTTTAGATTCTAAGGTCAATGGCCACTATTAATGAAAAGGAACTTCTTTGATTGCTGTATGTCAAATACAGTCTTGTGGATATGTTTACAAAGAGTACATAACACAGAAGAGATGAAAATAAAGTGAATTCTGATCATATGGTTATGATGTGTTGAAATCTTTGTGAATAGAAAGCTAACCCACAATCTTACTACTGTAAAATCTTATCTTAAATCTTTACCTTAAATATTTAAGACAACATTAATTTGAATGAATTGAAAAAATACATAAAACATTTAGAATTCAGATTTTACTTTTAGGTAAAAATGGCCCCTAAATTACAAGTATATGGATTATGAATACTGCACGGTCCCTAAATTACAAGTATATGGATTATGAATACTGCCTTTCCAGTTTATTCTTGGCCTTTTAGCTAAGATCAAGGTAGTGTGAACACTCTTCTGTTTCATTTGCAAGTGACAGCTGCATTAGAGAGGTATATTGTTTTGTGTTAGAAACTGATTTTAGGTTTTTCAAGCACTTACTAAAGCGCTAAAGTACTTAGTTCTAATGAATGTCAAGTATCATTGCAGTGCTTTGTACGAGAAGATGATTGCTCCTTGTGCAAAAGAATTCTCTTTTTTTGAGAGTTTTTTGCGATAGGGCACCTGCTTGCCAGAAAGACAGAGACAGAGAGATAGAAAGCGAGAAATCACCCCCACCCCCAGGGGGGATGGCCATGCCACAATCCCTTCTCCTCCATTCTCCTCTTGGATTCTGGGTATGCATGCACAAGGAGTGAGGTGAAGCCACCAGGCCTGGGACGCAAACCACGGTTGACTCCATGGAAGTCCAGCGACATAGCCGTTAGGCTAACTGATGGTTTCGTGCTAAGGAATTCTTAGTCTGAAGTGGAGGTAAACAACTGAAGTGTAATTAACGCATTAAATGATCTTAGTTATGTTTAAAACACTATTGAGGTCAGTAAGGGAGTAATTGTTTCAATGGGGTCTTGAAGTCAGAGATGAAGTGATGTTGGAGGGTTTGGGGTATGAGATTTTACAAGATCGATATGCAAGAAGAGGTGCTCAAAAGTGGAGAGAATGGGATTGGAGAAGTGTAGAAGTATGAATGTGGGAGCCTTTTTAGGGACCAGGCTCAAGTGAGCCAATTCTAAAACTGAAGATGAAGCTAGTTAGAAAAGCTATGAAAGTTCCCCAGTGTTTGGTATTACAGAGCCTTTAGTGATTTCTAAGAAAGGGTGTCTTATGATCACACACTTTTTCAGAAAACACTAACTTCTAGTGTGGAGGAAGAATTGAAGGAATCAAAGATGAGACCAGAATGGCCTTGGTTAGAGCAGAAATGGTGGCAGGCAGAGTCCTGGTTATATACTGGATTCATTCAGGCAGAATTGACATGATAATGTATTCAGTTTAGTAATGTTCCTGCCATGTGCCAGGCCCTGTAGAAAGGAATGGACATACAAAAGACTTGCTTTCAAAGACTATTAGGGAGAAGATAGATCTCCATTTCTGCTCACTCTGAATCACTTCCTAAGAACCTGGAATCTTTACCAACCAGAAGGATGATAGCACAGCAGTCTGACAGCTGCTTTCTGAAGTGGCCATAGCTGTGACCTCATTGAAGACCTTTCTCTTTTTTTTAAAGCATCTAGTGATTACAGTTCCCAACAAAATAATCAATAATGGAAGTCACAGAATGGCTTAAAAAACTGGTACACATGGCATGTGTACTTAAATTTTAACAGGATAGAGAAATTAAGGAGAAGGGATTAAAAAATACATAGATTGACTAATAAAAATATGGACAGATAGCCCAACCCATTCTCTCTGCTCCAGGCCGGGCTTCTTTGCCTGCTTATACTCAGAGCAGGACACTCTAAAATCCTCACATTCCCACCTTGTAGCCAGCAGTAGCCAGATTCCTTGCCACTGAGACACCTTAGGAGTGTGTCAGTGTGGCCTGATTCGAATGGGGCACTGGCTATGGGTGCAGTGGTATGGTGAGGAGAAGGCCAGGGCATCTCATAGACTTGGGTATGGACACACACTCCTGTCTGGACTTCTCGGCGAACCCCAATCTAAGCCACTGTAGTAGGCTTTTCCATTCACGCATGTGAAAGTGTTTCTAACTAGTATTAAGATGTATTTGTTCCCAAAAGAAGATAGAATGGGGAGGGGTAATAAACACATTTTTCAAACTCACAGGAAAAAGGCTAGAATGTAATCTGAGCACCCATATTCCCATTACTTTGATGTAAAATATTATTATTGGGTTGTTGGGAAAATACATCATGGCTTTTTTGACAACTCAATATTTTGCTTTATATGCTTTCTCTAGTTTTTCTTTTGTTGAAATTATTCCAAAGTAAATTACAGACATCATGGCATTTTACCTATACGTTCTTTTTTTTTTTTTTTTTTGAGAGGTTTTTGCTATAGGGCACGTGCACTCGCCAAACAGAGAGACAGAGACAGAAAGCGAGAAATCACCCCCCAGAGGGAATGGTCACGCCGCAATCCCTTCTCCTCCACTCTCCTCTCAGGATCTTGGGCATGCACGCACACGCGCCCGGTGTGAGTTTTAAGCCACTGGGTCTGGGATGCGAACCGCAGTCGACTACGTGGGAATCCAGCGACATAGCCATTACGCTAACTGCTGGTTCACACCTATACGTTTTTTAGTATTCTGCTCTTATAATTACTTTATTCCCTATACGTTCTTTAGTATTCTGCTCTTATAATTACTTTATTCCTATACACCATGATTCCATAAGCACGTCTAATAAAAACAGCAATAATTCCAAGCATCATATACTGCCCAGTCCACATCACATGTCGGGAATTTGCCTAACCAAGATCCAAATGTGCTCCAGGGATTGCATTGGATCTTAATGCTTTTAACTTCTACTTAAATCTAATGCATTTCTCCACCCTTCTTACACCACTTTGACTTTAAAAAAAAATTGTTTTTTTGAGAGGTTTTTGCTATAGGGTGTGTGTGCTCACCAGAAGGACAGAGAGAGACAGAGAGACAGCAAGAAATCACCCCGCCAGGGGGTATGGCCACGCTGCAATCCCTTCTCCTCCATTCTCCTCTCGGGATCTTGAGCATGCACGCACACGCACCCAGCGTGAGTTTAAGCCATCAGGTCTGGGACTTGAACTGCGGTCAACTACATGGGAGTCCAGTGACATAGCCATTACGCTAACTGCTGGTCCCACCACTTTGACCTTTTTGAAACCACCCAAACAGTTGTCTTATATTCTTGATTTATCTGGCTGTTTTCTAGTGGCAAATTATATTTTCTCTAAACTAAATATGAGATCTAAGGCTAAATTTAATTCTGGTGAAGTATTTGGGGCAAGAATACTTTATTCTGTGTTTATCATTTTCATTACACTAAGGATCACATGATTCCTGGTTTTTTTTTTTTTGAGAGATTTTCATTGTAGGGCGCGTGCGCTCGCCAGACAGACAGAGAGAGACATAGAGACAGAAAGCGAGAAATCACCCCCCAGGGGGGATGGTCACGCCGCAATCCCTTCTCCTTCATTCTCCTCTCGGGATCTTGGGCACGCACGCACACGCGCCTGGCGTGAGTTTTAAGCCACCGGGTCTGGGACACAAACCGCGGTCGACTATGTGGGAGTCCAGCGACTTAGCCATTACGCTAACTGCTGGTTCCCTGTTTTTTTTTTTTTTTTCCACAATTAATGATGTTAAGTATGGTCTGTTGAATAAGACAGTAACAACCCGAGCTCTTCGTTAAATAGATAGTTCTTCCCCTCTCAGAGACTAGTCAGTTGTGGAGTAATACTTTGGTACTACTGTGAACATTCAGTTCCTCATTGGCCTTTTTCTTAAAGATTTTAGCACATACTGGCAATTATAACTTGAATCAGTTATTACATTCAAGTGATGAAATGATTTCCCTAATTCTGTCATTTCTTTTTCATTTATTAGTTATCTTTCTTCCATGAAAAAGAGTTTTTTCTTATGACTGGGGCCATTTGGTTACCTCTCTGGAATGGCAGTCTATATCCAAATTATTTCTTGCTAATAAATGATTTTCAGAGCCAATGGTTGGTGTTATACTACTTCCAATAGTGTCAAATTATTTTAGGAGGAAGATCATATTTTCTGAGTTCTATATTGGACTCATGAATTGTTAGGTATTCAGATGTGCCCAAAGCAATTATACCTTCATGTGTTTTTTGCCAGAAAGCACGTGTACTCAACAGAGAGAGACAGAGTGACAGAGACAGAGTGAGAGAGAAAGCACACCCCAGTGGGGCATGGTCGCACCCCAACCTCTTCTCCATTTATCTATTCTGATGGGATTTGGAGCACACATGCACACACACCTGGCTTGTTCTTCAAGCTGCTGGGACTGGAATTTGAACCATGAAGTCAGCCATGTGGGATCCAACTTCCGTCACCATCAGGCCAGCCCAACACTTATTGTTTTTGTCTTTAAAATAAATTTAAAATGTTGAGGTATAGATTTATATGCAACTGTCAAAATGAGACAGAGAGAACCCATGTGCATTTTACCCAGATTCCCCCATGGCAACATCTTAAAACTCTATAGTACGATATCACAAGGATGTTGACATTTAGTATGTGAAGATACAGAACATTTTCAGCAATGCAGAATCTTTCATGTTGCCCATTATTTGTTTTTTGATGCTTTAACTGTTCAATTTTTGGCCAGTAGAATCCGTTCAAGATTTCTGTATCATTTCAATATAATTTCATCATCTTTGGTTTTATGTTTTCTGGTGGAACAGATGCCTCAGGATTATCTGTACCTTTCCTGCCAGAAACCTAACAGAAGCCGTTTCTTCAAGGGACCTTTCATAGCCCATGCCATGTGTGGTGGTTGAGGGCGCTGGACACCCACGTGGCCGACCGTAGTTCAAGTCCTGGACCTGATGGCTTACTTTCTCAGTTTCTCTCTCTCTCTCTCTCTCTCTCTCTCTCCCCCTCTGTGTGTGTGTGTGTGTGTGTGTCTGTTCCTCTCTGATCAAATTTAAATAAATAAATAAATGGATAGATAAGTTTAAATAAAACAATTAAAAAAAATAAGAAAAGTCAGAGGGCTTGGGGCACTCATTGCTATTCAGCTGTCA